TGGCCCGGGTTCGATCCTCAGCACCACATACCAACAAAGATGTTGTGTCCGCCGAGAACTAAGAAATAAATATTAAAAGTTCTCTCTCTCTCTCTCTCTCCTCTCTCACTCTCTCTTTAAAAAAAAAAAAAAAAAACATGATTATGGAGTCTTGGATTCTTTCTTTACTATGACTGCTGTAGTCTGTTACAACCATTATTCTTTTTGATGCTCAAATTGCTTCAAATTTGACCAATAAGAAGCCCTTCAAGTCAGCTGCTGTGTTCTTTTCACATGGACGCCATTTGTCTTTGAGTGCTACTTTGCATTCTGGTACATCAAGATGTTCCAAGATCACATGGCAGTTTCTTTGCTCTAGCCTTGGAATCAGTCACTTCTCAAGGGAGCTCAGATTCCTTTTTACTGGGAAATGATAAGAGACCAAGATCTGAGCATAGCATGTTCATTGCTACTGTGGTGTTATTTTTGTAGGTTCTCTCAGGAGACAGTGCTAGAACAACTTTTTATAAATTCTACAACTCTTATTGACACTTTTAATTCAACTCTAATATTTCCTATATACTTGCATTAATTTTCTAAGGCAGTTATAACAAAGTATCACAAACTTTGTGGCTGAAAAACAAGTTTATTCTCTCATAGGTCTAGAGACCCAAAGTTTGACGTGAGGGACTGAGTGAAACATACCATCACATTTAAAGCATTTGTCATGTCCACTCACATGCTACTTACTGGTCAAGTTGAGTCACATGGCTCTGCCCAAAGTCAGTGAGGTTTTTTAAGAAAAGAGGAAGTAAAAAGTCAAGAGCAATACAGTAATACAAGCTATCTCATATACCGTTTTCTGTTCATTTACAAATCCCTTCTGTTTTCTTGTTTCAACAATGAAAGGTGATTTTGTGTAGGCAAAGGTAAGAGGTTTGGGAAGCTTACTAGGTTTCTTAATCCAGAAGTACTCTCTACTGACTGCTACAATTTATTTAATAAATGGGAGTGGAAGAGGTTTGTGTGTCATGTGATTTAGTAATCCATTTCTGTTTTATAGGAGACTTAATTTCCACCATTTCTTTCATTCAGCATCTCTAGTCCCATACATTTTCACTCCCTTTCCTTACAGTTCTCCAGAAATCAATGCAGGTCTCAGAGTATTTAATCACTCAGATGAGGAATTTTTCTTTTTAGAAGTGATTTTATCTTGTCCTACCACTACTAGGCCCCATAATGACCTCTCCTCTTTTTTGCAGTCTCTCCTAGGCTCTCTCAAGAGCAAACTCTGAAGCCAGGTCTGTTACCTTTAGAAAGTTTATTTCCTACTTATAAATGGACACTCACAGTATTCTTTGTCTTCTTCTTATTCCCAGTTAAAAGAGCCAAAAACTCCACCAGAAGACTGCTAGTTCTATAATCAATAGGAATGATGAGAGTGGACAATTCAGTACTTGCCATTACCTACCTCACTGAACTGCTTAGGTATTTTTGGTTGGCTGATCTCTTTCAGCAAATTCATTATTGGTGAATTGAAAACCTATTGTTTTTTATATGTTGCTTTTACTATCCTTCTACTCTGCTAAATACATACAATACGGCAGATTAAGGACTAGTATGAATTCTTTTATACTCCTCTTGTGGAAAAGTATGTCTATTTGGTATCATTCTAAATTTGGGCTGGCCATTGGCTCTCTGAATCATTGGAGTATGACAGAAGTGATACTAGATTAGTTCTGGGCCTGATATTTAAAATGCACTGGAAGCTTCCATGCTGGTGTCTTGGAATCTAGTTCTTATGTAAGAAGACAAACAATTCTAAGATGTTGTAAGAGAATAAAGACATGTGGCTAAGGGTCAAAAGGATAAGATACCATGTGGTTAGAAAGGTCAAGGAAAACCAAGGCACTAGACATATGAGTAAAGAAGTGGATCCATCCATCCCCACTGATACTACATGGATCAGAGACAAACCAAGACAGTGTACAATAATTCATAGTCATCTTTAATCTGTCATATACAGTTTTGTAAAAAACT